GTAAAGAGTAATAGTCTGAGGTTACTTTTCACCAATCACTTAGCTGGTGAAAAGTCTGAGGTTACTTTTCACCAATCACTTAGCTGGTGAAAAGTCTGAGGTTACTTTTCACCAATCACTTAGCTGGTGAAAAGTCTGAGGTTACTTTTCACCAATCACTTAGCTGGTGAAAAGTCTGAGGTTACTTTTCACCAATCACTTAGCTGGTGAAAAGTCTGAGGTTACTTTTCACCAATCACTTAGCTGGTGAAAAGTCTGAGGTTACTTTTCACCAATCACTTAGCTGGTGAAAAGTCTGAGGTTACTTTTCACCAATCACTTAGCTGGTGAAAAGTCTGAGGTTACTTTTCACCAATCACTTAGCTGGTGAAAAGTCTGAGGTTACTTTTCACCAATCACTTAGCTGGTGAAAAGTCTGAGGTTACTTTTCACCAATCACTTAGCTGGTGAAAAGTCTGAGGTTACTTTTCACCAATCACTTAGCTGGTGAAAAGTCTGAGGTTACTTTTCACCAATCACTTAGCTGGTGAAAAGTCTGAGGTTACTTTTCACCAATCACTTAGCTGGTGAAAAGTCTGAGGTTACTTTTCACCAATCACTTAGCTGGTGAAAAGTCTGAGGTTACTTTTCACCAATCACTTAACTGGTGCAAAGTAACCTCAGACTATTATTATTTTACATTTTTAAAAATTTAAAAAAACACTCAAAAAAGGCAGCAGCATTTAAAATTCATTCTGAAAATTGAAGATAATGGCTCAACTAACAAGAAATAAATATGTTAAAAATCAGAATTGCTATCAGAGACGAGTAACTACAAAAACTTTTCAAAATTGGTGCAAAGTTAGAGTACACTAGCCCTGGTTGACAGTATATATTTTTTTAATTTCTTTATAACAGATGTGAAAATAAAATGGAAAATTTTGTCAATTTGTATTTTAGCATGGTAAATGGTTTTAGACCAGTCAGTGTAAAATTTAATAATCTCGCAGTAACTACATAAAACTACATGAATCTGGCAGAGAGTAACTACATACATAAAACATTGGTTTTTGTAACAAACCTTATTTTTTTCAGTTTAACAATTTTTTCAAGAAACTATTTAAAAATGTCTTTTTAACATTTAGAATAAGTTAAAACACATTTTAAAACATTTTAAAGTTAGGTCAAAGTCATTCCATTTTATTGTAATTTTTGCAAAAACAACACTAGAAATAGAATTATCAGATAATGTATTGTTTGTGAGTTTTTTTAATTTGTAACTAGTTTTTGTGTATAACTTATGTACTTTTTTTCAACTTTTGATAAAACCCAGTAAGTTATTAATTATCCTTAAGCATGGGCTTATGCATGCGTTTGACGGTCCATTAAAAACCATTAGTTTCTGTTGCGTTAAAAAAAATAAGTAGAAATTCCATTAAAATCCATTAAAATTTATTAATGGTAGTTTTTTGTTAATGGCCGTTAATTTATTTTAACAACTTTTAAAATCTGTTAACCACCATTATTTAAAATATCCAATAAAATAGATATGTATATTTTTAGATAAAAATAAACAAACAAACTAATATTGAAAATGAAAATACATAAACTTAGTTGCAAAACAGATAACATGTACAACCTTGAAAGCAAACAAATTAATAATAAAACACATAGACATAGTTGCCCATAGAAAAAAATTAAAGTTATCACTCCTTCTTTTTCCTTCTCAGGATCATTCAATTTCCAATTTTTTTTTCGATGTTCTCAAAGATGTCATGGCAAAACACCAATTGTCTTATTGTGTCAGTGCTATGGTTTTCTCTACTACAAGATACAATATTTCCTAACAAACTAAAAACTCTTTCATAAATTTGATGCAGGAATGCAAAAAAATGGATCTGGAAATTTTAGCCAAGATGGGAAGAACTTCAAATTGTTTTCCCACCAAGTTAAAACGTTTGTTTTGCTTTTGGTGACACCAAGTTAAAATGTTTGTGTTGCTTCCAAGTTGCCACCAAGTTAAAACGTTTTGTAAAAAAAAAAAGTGCATTTCTTTAATTAAAGAATGCAAAAAAATGTATATCATCCATTATAATATCTTTAACATGTGACTTTTTAGTTTCACAAAAATCAATTGGCTCCATAAAATGAAAATATATCACCCATTATAATATCTTTGGCATGTGACTTTTTAGTTACACAAAAATCAATTTGCTCCATAAAATGAAAATTTTCTGTGAAAATGGTAACATACAGATTTGCCGTATGGAAAAATCAATGATAACTAATGCCCATGCTTAGTTATCATTTATCTTATAATCCAAAAGCTAATTTAAGAAATTATGTAGACTTAACTGTTCACTTTTTTCTTACTTAAGAGAAAATCAAAAACAAGGCTTCGTTGTTTTTTTAATGGACTAAATTATTTTGGAATTTATTGATGTATTGCATTTTTAAAATAAAACAAAATTTAAATAAAATAACATTGTCTTTAGAATTGTTAGTTATTATTGGAAAAGTATCTTTAATTGGAAATCTAAGCTGCTTACTTAAGGATGAGAGATTACAACAATATATAGAAAACTTTATCCAGTGTTTTGTATCTGATTCTCCGCCTCTTACTCGACAGCAGTTTCTTGAAGCATCTAAGTTTTGGCCTGTACAGTTTCACGAAAGTAAAATGTAAGATATTAATGTAATTAATTTCTTAATCTTTGATTAATTATTTTTGTTTTTTTAATTTTTAACAATAACCTTTAACTATTTTAAGCAAATTAAAATATAATTTATCACTTGTTAACTTTCATGGTATTTTTCTTGGTATTATTTCTGAATATGATGATCCTGATTTTACATGTTGACTATGTTTGAAAAAGTTTTTTTTTTTTTTTTTGACACCGTGAGTGCATACATGTATGCATACAGGTAACCAACTGTCCGTTATGCATATGCATACAGGTGACCAACTATTTGTTAATTCAAATTGGTGTTTTGATGAAAACATTGATTCAATTAACTTTGTTATTAGAGTTTAATACAAACTAGACAATATGAGAGCACAATATAATTTTAAATAATAAGGTTTTTAGCATATTTATACATATAAATGCATTTTTTGTAATATCTGAAAAATCTGCACAAAAGTAACAGCATATTATAAATCTTTATCCATGCATTTGTAGATCTACAAAAAGCTTTTGATACAGTAATCCATGCATTGTAGATCTACAAAAAGCTTTTGATACAGTAGATCATTCTATCCTACTCAAGAAATTAGAATATTATGGAATCAGAGGAATACTTCTTAAATAGTTTACTTCCTATCTTCACAACAGATCTCAGTTTGTCTCAGTCAATGACTCAAAATCTGCTCAAATAAATTGTTCAAACAGTATCCCTCAAGACTCAGTATTAGGACCACTACTTTTTCTTCTTTATATTAATGACCTTAATAACTCAATTAAGTATGCAACTCCTTACCACTTTGCTGATGATACTAACCTGCTCATTATCAACAAATCTTTTTAAAAAAAATTAACAAATACATTAGTCATGATCTTGCCTATTTAGTTCAGTGGCTTCACTCAAATAAGCTTTCTCTCAACTGTAGCAAAACTGTACTAGTCATTCAAATCTAATAAAACAAAAATCAATAAAAATTTAAACTTTGGATTAAGTGGCCAGAAAATCATTCCTGTAAACTCTATCAAATATCTTGGAATTATAATTGATTCCAACCTATCATTTGTGTCCCATCTTAAAGACTTAGCCATAAAATTGAACAGATCAAATGGAATGCTGGCTAAAGTTTGCTATTAAAACCTACTTCTTACCTTCAACAATTTCTTCCCAAAAAATGCAAATAACCGTTACTATCTTTGATCAATTGATAATGTGAATCTTGCAGTCTTAAAACATCGTTCTGTTACTTGTGGATCTCTCCATTCAATTTATGTTTTTAAGAGTAATCTATTCCATTCCTTCCTAATCAAATACAGTTATATGTATCTGTGTATAAGAGTTGTGATAAGCGCATTTAAATAAGTGTGAGTGTATATGTATGTATGTGTATATGTATGCATGGATGTGTATGTCTGTATGTGTATGTTTGTATATATTTATATGTGTATATATATGTGTGTATGTGAATGTAAATATATATATATATGTGTATATATATATGTGTATATATATATATATATATATATATATATATATATATATATATATATATATATATATATATATATATGCGAATATATGTGTAGGTGTATCTAATATATTCATATATAATACACATATATAATATTATTAAATGTGTGTATATGTATTTATATTTGTATATGTGTATGTATGTATGTATGTGTTTATGTATGCGTGTATGTATATGTACGTGTGTGTATATACGTATATTTGTGTATAATATATATGAATCTACATATATGTGTGTATATTATGTTTGTATACAGTTAATGTATACATACCTGTATTGAATACAGGGGGTATAAGTATATGTGTTTATATGTATTTGTGAATGTAAGTGTGTATGTGTGTTTGTATGTGTGCATTTGTATGTGTCTGTATTTGTGTGTATGTGTGTGACTAATTCTAAATTACTATTAATTTTTTTATGATTATTGTAATTATTTATATTTCTGTAATTTAATTTTTATTATTATAATTTTACTTTTATCATTGTATTGTTATAATTGTTACTACCACTTTTATTATTATCATTATTAGTATTTTTATTCCTTCAAACTTTTAATGTTTGTTTTGTTACTGCTGTGGACGATTAATATTACTATTAACATTAACAATATATTTATTAGCTTTTATTTGCAAGGTTTTTACTTAAGATTAGTAAATGTACTGTTTGTAAACTTCCGTGAATGTGACAACTATTTTAGAATATATGAATTGATTGATTGATTGATATTCTGTAAAAGAAGATTGAAAAGTATGAAATATAAAGTAAACCATAAATATAGTATATTTTTGTATTTCAAAAATAAAAGGTTATAATACAGTATAATCTTTTTTAACCATGTTTTATTTATGAAATAATACATTAAAAGCTTTATATTGAATTTGTTTAGGGATCGTCCATAAAGTATGTATGCTCGGATGGGGGAGAGGAGGTCTGCATATAGCGTATATGAGATAGGGTGCTGGTGGTCAATTATAAAAGTAAGGAGACACTAAATTAAAAAAAATTTTATCAAATGTTGGGTAGGTAGGCTAAAAGCTTAGGTACTTTTAGGGAGGTGGAGGTTACTCAAAAATGTGTATAGCAAAAAGGAGGGTGGGGGGTGTAATCCCTTACAAGATACATTTAGCAACATTTTAACGTAGCGTTTAAAATAGGAGAAAAAAGTAAAATAATTAAGTTTATTTTTATCACCTGGTATTATTAATTTTTGTATTTTTCTGTGATAAATTTATATAAATGGTTTTTAATTTTATAAACAATAACAAATTTAAACATTGATTGTGTCTTTGTTTAACTTTTATAATTAAATTTATTCAAGTTAATATAGTTGAAAACATGATAAAAATTAATGATTGAACCAATAAAAAGAATATTCTGATTCCAATTTTGTCATTTCAGCTGCTTTTGTTTTTTAGCCTATTTAATACTTATTTCCTATTCAAAAGAAAATTGATTTCAGTTTTGATTTTTTAAAACTCTTTTCTAAGTCAGCTAAAACTTAACTTTCATTGAAATTTAACTTGTTTGTAGGGATTGTAAAATTACCAATCTTTTTATTTACCGCTATTTATTTTACAAAAAAAATAGATTAAACCGGTAATGTTACTGGTAATTTTGTTTATTTTTAATTATTAATTAAACTATTATAGAGTTCAAAAAATTTTAAAACTGAAAGCATGTTTTAATATTACACTAGTAGTAAAAATATATTGAAAATAAATACAAAGATAATAAAAATACACACATAATAAAAGTAAAGTTTTTTATTTTTAAAAGAAAATAAATGAATTTGTTTTTGAAAATAAGCTCGAAAGAAGCATAAATCATCTATACTTCTGTCACTTAATTGCAATCTTCTTTCCCTGGTGATAAGCCCCGCCATAAAAAAGATACATTCTGCTTCAACACTAGTTGGGCAAACGGTCAAGAGATGGTTGTATATAAAAGTCTTCTTAATATTACTGGCAGATCAAGTTTTTAATCAAAAAACTTCTGATTTCATGAGTCAAACAACTTTTTAAAATCAATATGAATTTTATTCCTTGAGCCCAACAGCTATCGACAATCATTATTCCTCTTGACAATTTTATTCCTCTTGTTTTATACAATATTTAGTAAAATATTATTTTTATATTATATTATTTATATTTATTTATTTATTGAGTATTTAGTAAAATAAATAGTCCTAATGTTTCAAAAAAGCTGTAAAAAATATATTCCTGGCTAACACCCTGTATATGACCATAATAACATATAAGTTCTATTGCGCATTAGATGGAGGTGTACTTATTGAGACATACTATTTGCATGTTAATGTTTGATTGAAAATACTCACATTATTTTCTAGTAATCTCATGAGTAATACAAGATGATATTAATGATCTACCTGATAATCTACCTCTAAATTGGCTGATGCCTACCTCTATTTACTGATGGAACAACTATATGTATCTTATATTTTACATTATATTTACATATAATGTAATGGTGATTAAAGTTGGTGCTCACTTGAATTTATTTACTTTCTTTTTTTACCTTTAACATATACAGAAAATCACACCTCTCAAAAATTCTCATCTTTTTGTATTTATGTTTTCTTACCCTGTTATTACTTCTATTTTATTTAGTTACAGTAACATTTCTATAAAAATTAGATTTTAATGTAACTAAATACAAGTTTTTATGCCTTTAAAGTTGTAACAAAATTTTTGTCATTGGATGTCAATTGTGATTGATGAAACACTTTATTGAAAAAAGTTTAAAAAGATTGTTTTTTTTTCTTAAAGTTTTTATTAAATTAGTCCTACTCAGAGCTTTTTTTTTCAATGTTTTATTTTCAGAATGAAAGCAATTATTGAGGGGACAAATTTAAATGAAGCAGAAATAAAACAAGGCCTTGAATATATGCATCTGGTGCAGGATATATTCTCAACGGAAGTAATTATCTTTAGAATTATTTTGTTATTTAGTCGTATAACATGAATCATGAAAAGATTTGAACGCTATTACTATTTCTTTGAACGTTACGATTATTATCTAGAACAGATCTGCAGCAGTTATAGTTAACCCGGTTGATAATTCCATCTTAGCTGTTGCACATGATCACACTGAATCTGACCCTTTAAAACATGCAGTCATGGTTGCTATAGATATGATAGCTTGGCAACAAAATGGTGGCGCTTATAATTTAAAGTATAGAAAGAATAATGATGGGTTCTGTATTATTGATAGTAATCATTTATCTAACAATTTATTAACTTTGAATAGTAAAGTATATGAGAATTTAAAAAGCGGTTCTGGTGGTGGTGGTTACCTCTGCACTGGATATGATATTTATTTGACTCATGAACCTTGTGTAATGTAAGTACCTTAAATGATTTCCAATATATGTATTCTTTTTGTTTATGTTTTCTATTGTTTATGATTTCATTTTTGCTAAAGTCCCCCTAACTGTTTTTTGTCTTATATAGTGTATAAATAAATACACTATAAAAATACCTATTTATACTGGTAAAGTGTCCGTAAATATTAGCCACCTATCTATAAAATTAGTCTGCATTGAACAAAAACATATCATTAAAAAACATAAGGTATTTAGTGTCAACATCAAATGTGTCAGCAATATCCGGCTTTTAAAAAAAATGTTTTTTTTGTGTGTATTTACGTCACGTGGTTGTGTATTAAATAAATTGTTTTAGATCTTTATAAAGAAATTGTTAAAATATTTTCAACTTTTTCTAATAAATTTTATTAAAGTTGACTTTCATGTAAAACTTCATTACCCAATGTTTTATGCTGATACTGCATTATTTTTTAAAACTAAGTTCTCATAATTTAATGATAAGTTCTAATTTACCGAACATTTCTAATCAAAAAATTTAAACGTTAATTTTTTTAATAAAAGATTTAATTTTGTGGCACTTTAAAACTATTGTATTGATTTACATTTTATATGATTTTACATTTTTTATTTATTCTATGATTTTAATAATTTATTTTTAGCTAAGTTGGTTAATGTTTTGTGTTCAAGTCCTAGAAAAGTTGACCCTAAAATATTAAATTATTTGGTTGAAATTTTTGTTTTGGTTCTTCAAAAGGCTAAAAGTGTTGCAGAAAAACTTTGAGATGATTTTTTAAATGCACGTTTTTCGAAAATTCGCTTTTCTTATAAGCACCTTCCTAAATGTTATCTTTCAGGGTTCTACACTAACCATCTACGGTTTCCAAGGAATTCTTCAGTTATTGAATGTGATTTGTTGATAATTGTTGTGCTACTATTGATGACTCAGTCACGTAAAACATTCCTGCTGTTATTTTCTTTGACCTTCTTATATTGTAGCCTACACCGTGAATGTTAGGTCATAAATTTTTGATGTATTTTTATTATGATTTGAATTGAGACATTTGAATATATGTTCGGTAACTTTACGTATATGTACCATATACGTATAGTTACCGAAATACGTTGCCCATTTTATCTACTTTAAAAAAAAAATTGGGTTATAGAAATTTATATCTAACAATTGATTTGCATTCAGGCAAACCAGAATTGCTTGTTATAAAACAAACACATAAAAAACAAAAAAATTATTGTTGCTAAATAAAAAAATACATTACATAATATATATATATATATATATATATATATATATATATATATATATATATATATATATATATATATATATATATATATATATATATATATATATAAATATATATATATATATATATATATATATATATATATATATATATATATATATATATATATATATATATATATATATATATATATATATATATATATATATATATATATATATATATATATATATATATATATATATATATATATTTCCAAATAATATAACACATAAAAAACAAACAAAAAAAATTAAATAAATGTATTTATTAAACTATATACCGAGCAGGCGTACAACGTAGTTAATGTTGTAGTAACGTTCTAACGTTAGTGCAACGTTGTGTGCCTGTAATATAATATTATAATTCTACTTTTGCTATACTTCAATACCAAATAAAACCACATTAAACGAAATTAGGCCTAAAGAAAAGAGATTACAACTTTTTTTGACACGATAGTCAAAAAAAGTTGTAATCTCTTTTCTTTAGGCCTAATTTCCCAAAATTGTTGCAGTAGACTTTAAGTGCGTGATATGGAGACGATGAGACGGACACTCGGTAGTAGCACGTTTTCTTTCTATAGCGTAAAACCTATTAACCATCTGTAGCTGATTACTATCTAATACAACTCCAGTAAGGTCTGTCAAAGTTTGTAGAATTGCTTTATCTTCGAAGTTCTAAGATGATGGATAGGTGGCTTGTCCCTACCAGCGTTGGTCAACTCGTTTTAGCGTTAAAACAGTATATTCGGCTGCTAATGTAGGCCGCCCAAGTTTTGAATAATTATAAACTGTGTAAACCTCGTATATGCTAATAAACCTTTTTTAACAATTGGTAAACACTATCATTATTTATACACAGTATTTTTAGTAGATTTTTTATATAAAGGTTTTTTTATAGTAATTTCAATAGGTTTAAATAAGCAAATTTTACAAGTGGTTAGAAATTTTCTATACAATTAATAATATCCAAAATTTCTGACAAAACATTGGTTTTGTTATATTAGTATGTTTTATTATAAGTTTTTTTATTTTAAGTTATTTTGTCTTAATATTGATTGAGATTAGGTGCAGCATGGCTCTCCTACATAGTCGTATTCGCAGAGTTTTTTTCCGCAAGTCAAATGTCACAAATGGTGGGGTGCAAAGCGTATTTAAAATACACTGTGAAGAAAGTTTAAATCATCATTTTGAAGTTTATAAAATGACAGTAAACAAGCGAAAATTTGAAGACATTTAATTTTGCTTCAAAAATACTTGGTTAACCTCATATATCGGAAATAACATTTTTACAAGAAAAGATGAATCCTGTTTATTATTATTGTGTTGATTATGATTAAGTTTTTTGTAATATTGTTTTATAATTTTTTGAATTGGTTACGCAATCTTGACATAAGGTCGGGTGAATAAAAAAAATGCAATTGCTTTTACTCAATGTTTTTGGAGTAATTGTTCAGCTTTACGTAAATAAATATTTGAGCCAAATCGCTTAAATTTTTATTCGCGTAAAGTTAAGCAATTTACTCCAAAAACGCTGAGTAATTGCTCAGCTTTATGTAAACAAGAGTCTCAGTAAAATTTAATTTTTTATTCACGTAAAGCTGACCGATTACTGAGTAATTGGTCAACCTACGTTCAACCTACAACTTTTTACGTCTTCAGTTAACCATTTCCTAGTATTTTTACTTATTTTCTATTTTAAAGTAACTCGTAACTTAAGGTACTTCTCTACCATTAAATAAGTGAAAAAGTTAATTTTTTTCACTTTTTTGATTTTAGTTAAATACTGACCAAAATTTTACAAGGAATCCAAAAATATTCATATTAAAGCTCCAAATCCTACACTTTTTAAGTATTTTAGGTTAATTTGGTTGTTTACATTTGATAATTCGTATAGCAACGGTTGCTAAGGGGCAATTTTCTTGGAATACTGTGAATTGTTTTGTTGTAATTTGAACAAATTTGCTATTGATGAATATTTTTAGTCTGGTGGCTAATATAGGCCAGTTTTAGAATATTTTAGTATAATGGAACACTACTAAAGTTTGTTTTTGCTTTGTGTTCGTTGAGGACGTTTATTTAATTTTATGTGCTTGATTATTTTTGATTTTTATTTACTAAATCATAGTTATATAATGGGAAAAAGAAAAAATACCTACAAAAAAAGTAAAAGATGTTTTTATGGTAATCAACATGCAAACTCGTTAACGAAAAACAACAAAAAACATACAAAAAAAGATTCAACTGTAGAATCAACAACAAACATTGACTTAGATTTTGTTGGTAACCATAACATTATTATTGAACTAGACATTCTTAATTTAATTTTAAATAATATGATATGTCTAAAATGCATGTCAACAAATGTTGTCTCTGCAAAAAACATTGTCAGACATAAAATGGGATGGGCTAACAAGCTTAATATCAGTTGTAGTGTTTGTAGCTGGTTTTACGAAACTTTCACTTCTAGTTTGAATAACACTCCAGAACAAGCTGGTCAGAAAGCTTTTGATATTAATATTAGATCTATAATTGCATTTCGTGAAATAGGAATTGGTCATGAAAGTGCTAAAAAATTTTCTATGATAATGAACTTAGTCGAGCCAGTTGGAATTAAGACATTAATGATCGACTTCTGAAAAGTTACCTTAAGGCTGCTGATGAAAGTATGTTAATAGCTGGTTCTGATTCTAGAAGCACTGACAATAGGATTTCTGAACGCACAGTTTCATTAGATAGAACCTGGCAAAAAAGAGGGCATGACTCGTTGAATGGTATTGTTACTGCTATCTTACGAATGATAAGTTGATAATCAAAAAAATGCAAAGCTTGCCAAGTTTGGACTAAAAAGAAAGGGACTAATGAATATAATATGTGGAAGAGCTCCCATATATGCCACATAAATCATAATAAATCAGCTAGTTCCGTGGAGTCGGATGGGGCAGTTGCAATATTTCATAGGTCAATTTCAAGACATAAGTTAAAATATAAGAATTACATTGGAGATGGGGATACCAGTTCATACTTGAAAGTTGTAGAATCAAAACCTTATGGTGATGATTTTTTAATTCATAAACTTGAATGCGTTGGTCACATTCAAAAACGTTTAGGTGCAAGGTTAGGTAATTTAAAAATAAAGTACAAAAATAAATTGTTGTCAGATGGAAAAAAACTTTTTGGAAAAGGTCGTTTGACGGGAAAAAGCTATCAATTTACTACAGTCATACTATGGCTGTATATAGTTGGGGCTGTGTTATTTCACTGTTCAGAAAATATCACTGAAGAAGAGCGTCATAAATACTGTCCTCGTACAAAAGATAGCTGGTGTAAATGGCAATCTAATAAAATAACAGGTAAAAGCACATATACTTCAAAAATCACACTACCAGCTGCTATAAGGGATGAACTTAAACCAATTTTTCAAGAACTAAGTGAGGATGCATTACTTAATAAATGCTTGCATGGTTTGACTCAAAATGTCAATGAATGTCTTAATTCAATAATTTGGTCTCATTGCCCTAAGAGAATTTATTGCAGTAGAAAAATTTTAAAAATTGGTGTATGTTCTGCAGTTATAAACTTTAATGATGGCCATCATGGATTGAAAACAGTATTTAGTAATCTAAATATTCCTGCTGGATATTTTTTTGATAAAGGTTCTGCAGAAAAAGAAAATCGTCGAAATATTTTAAAATGTAAACAAAATACAAAGGAATTTAAATGTAAACAAAAGCATTTAAGGCATGAAAGAAAACGTTACATTGATGTCAACAAGGAACTAGAAGGTGGTGATTGCTATAAAACTCTTTTTAATATACTTACGATTTAAATTAGTTTTTTAAATGATGTACTTAATTTGCGTTTTTTGAAAAATTGAAAATTTTGCTTTATGTGTTTACTATTTCCTAAAATTTTCAGGATGCTGTTGACAAAACGCTTTGAAATTTTCCCAAAAGTTTTAAAATGAGTATGACTACAATATGAACCTCAATCAAACAATCATATTGACTACAAAAAATTTTTGGAGGGATTTTTGGGGCAACAGAATACGAATGTTGTCATAAATGTTTTATAACTAAATGTAGAACTTGTATCCAACCTTGGTTTTGGTTCACATTTTTCTTTGTCATTTTATTAATATACCCTGAAAGTTTCAGCCTAAATACTTTATTAGTTCCGAAGTATTTTAGGAAACAGAATCAGTACTTTTTTGCCCTTTTTTTCATAAATTCGGCGCATGCGCAATGAATTCGATTATTTTTTTGACTTTACTCTTAATTATTTTTAGTGACTATTTACTTAATAATTTCCTTATTTGTTAAAATCAGTCGTATAAATTTTTAATTTTAATGGTAGAGAAGTACCTTAATAGTGGTTGCTTGCAATCTTGTTGGAAGTGAATTAGAATTTGAAATTATATAAATATATGCCAGTATTTAATAAATAGTATATGTAAGCATAAAGTTCTAATATATAAAGTATCATAATTTTTTTTTTTTCTAGTCCCGGTTATCAATCCATTTTAAATCTTATAGTTTTTCCGGAGCCGGGTTTTAAAAAAGCAGCTTTTTTTAGCCGGGGTCGGGGCCCCGGTCATTTGCTAGTTGCGGAGTAGCACATCCAAACCCATGTTTCTGATGTGATCAAAATGAAATTTGCAGCATCTAGAGATGGAGGCTCAGTTGCTATTTTAGCTACAAGAGGGAGGGATTTAAGGTGGTAGTATAATAATTAAAATTGAAAAATTCATTTTTTCAAAAATACATTTTTTAACTAATATAACTATTGTAGATTCGAAATCTTTTCTTGCTATATAAATTTTTTTTT